AGCAATGATCTTTAAAATCCCATAATGTGACAGGGCCACACAAGTGAGATGCAAAAAAACAACCCCTCCAAAAAAAAACCTCAAGCCTCACTAATGTGGCCCCAACTGTGCTAGTGGGGGCAGGATGCTGGGGCAGCTGGGGCTAGTACCTGGGGATCCTGCAGCAGCGCAACAGGTCTGGGGTCTCAGGAAGCATGTTCGCTGCTTCCCTCTCCCCCAAACAGCTGGTGCGTTTCCTGAACAGCTGGGTCTCTGGCGTACCGGCAACTTCTTTCCCCTGCTGCCTGCCTGTGGGGTTGGGGGGGGAGGGGAGTGGGAGTCTTGGGACTGCACCAGCTTGCTCAGGAAGCGCACGCCCTGCTCCTCACTCCCTACAACAGTCACATACTTCCTGAGCAGCTGGAGCTGGCATGGTCCCAGAACTCCTACTCCTCTTCCTCCATGCAGGCAGACAGCAGGGGGAAGGAAGTTGCTGGCGTTCCACAGACCCAGCTTTTTAGGAGGCGCGCCAGCTGTTTAGGGGAGGGGAAGAGCAGACACAGAACCTAGCTTTTAGCTGCAGAACTTCCCCCCATGCTGCAGAAAGCTGGTGTGCTACCTCCATTTTCGCGGGAGGCAGCATCAGTGTGGGCTTCTTGGGGGTGGGAGGGAATGAAGGGGGGCTGGAACACCTTGCGGTCAGCTGATTATGCCCCCACAATCGACCAGTTGATGGCAATCAACAGGTTGGTGACCATGGCGCTAACCCAATCTCCCACCCCTTCCCCCCCGGGGGGTTTGGGGGGGGGGGGGGGGAGGAATTGAACTTGCCACTCTGTCCTCCCCAGGCGAGCGCCCTACCCCCACAACTCTAACCCAATCCCCTCTCCCTTCCGCAGAGCCAGCCCTGGTCTTCCACCCTCTGGACCTAACTGGTTTCAAATGAGGGATTTTTTTTTGGACCGTGGAGGTCATTTCAGGCCTCCTGCTGCTGCCCCTTCCCCACTGGGCTTCTTTGGACCTCCCTCCCCTGCAACCCAGCTGAGACTGCCTCCTTCCTTGCACCTCCACAAAAGGCCACCCCCCACAACTCAGAGCCCAGCACCAGTTCCCTGAACCCCGCATCCCCCTCCTGTTCTGCAATGTGATTTGTCCTTTTCATATTTGTTCAATTTTTTTAATTGTATCCTTTGGTATATATGGTTGTGACTACTTTCTTCCACTATTTGATCTGAGGAAGTGGGTCTGGCCCACGAAAGCTCATCATCTAATAAACCAGAAAACACCCAGTTCCCAGCACCTCCCCCCTCCTGCAGCCCAGCTGAGCCTCGGGCCCAGCACCACCCCCTCCCGCAGCCCAGCTGAGCCTTGCACCTGGCACCTCCCCTCTCCTGCAACCCAGCTGAGCACAGCGCCCAGCATCTTCCCCCTCCCAGAGGCCTGCTGAGCCCCATGCCTGGGTCCCAGCACTTTCCTGGTCCCACAATGCAGCTGAGCTCCCTGCCCGCCAGCGTAGCTCTAACCTACTGCCCAGTGCTGGAGGCAGTGCCGCCACTACAGCCGCATGCGTCTCCCTTCACGCGCTGCGGCGTGTGTGCTGAGTGGCCGGCTGTGAGCTTGCTGGAATGCAGCACAGAGCCGCCAGCCTGAGTGGTACCAGCAGGAGCTGCATTTTTTTAATCAAAGAGCCGCATGCAGCTCGCAAGCCTCGGGTTGGCCACCCATAGTTTAGGCTTGTCCCTTGACCTGGAGGTGACAGATTGGATGGCCTCTCTCACAGCCCCTAATTTCTAAGGGACTGGTTTGGAATCTGTCATTTTTGGGTTTTCCAATGTGAGAGAATGCATGAGCATGGAGTAAAACTTTTTCTGCTTGAACTACATTGGTCACGTTTCGCTCCTGACAGATGTTCAGTGAGGTAGCAGCTGCAACAGAATCTTTGCCCACAGTCAGAGCAGTTATAAGGGTTCAATCTTGTGTGAACTGTACGATAGGCAACAGGGTGTCAGCATTCACTGAAGCTTTCCTCACACTCAGTGCTCTTATACACAGAGTTCCATCTCATTTTTCCTGGATTTTATTAGGGGTATCAATATGATGTGACACACATAATCATAGGGCTGGAAGAGACCTCAGGAGGTCATCAAATCCAGCCCACAGCTCCATATCAGTACACAGAACAAGTTCATGTGGCAGGAGTGGCAATCAGGAGCTTGACTGTAGGAAGAAGCTCAGGGCTGGGACAAAGAATTGGGGAGCAGGGGTGTGACAACTGGCTCAGGAGGGGGGTTAGGAGTGGAGAAGCTCTGGGAGGGAATTTGGATGCAGGAGGATGTGGAGAAGGGGATGCTGGCTCAAGGAGGGGGCTCCAGGCTGGGAAGTGTTGGGCTCATTTGGAGGGTTGGGGTGCTGAGCAAGCCACAGACTTGTGGATGTGAGGGTGCAGGAGTTTGGGGATGAGAGAGGCTCAGGACAGGGGATTCCAGTGTATGATAGGCTCAGATTTCCTGAGGACCAGTACTGGGCTGCGGACCACACTTTGGGAAACACTGTGTTACAGGGTTTCTCTCCCGTGTGGATTCTCCTATGTCTATGCTCTGACTGAATCTTTTCCAGCAGTCAGCTGTCAAAGAGTTTCTCTCCTGTGTGGATTGCATGAGGATTGCTAGGAGTTGAGCACTGACTCAAGCTTTTCCCATGTCAGAGCAGGCAATGGGTTTCTTGCCCATGTGGATTCTCTTATGTCTAACAAGATGTGAACTTCTACTAAAGCTTTTCTCACAGTCAGGGCAGTCAAAGGGTTTCTCTCCTGTGTGGATTCTCCTATGTCTAACAAGATGTGAGCTCCTACTAAAGCTTCTCTCACAGTCAGGGCAGTCAAAGGGTTTCTCTCCTGTGTGGATTCTCCTATGTATAACAAGATTTGACCTCTCCGGGTATGTCTACACTACAAAGTTAGTTCGAACTAACGGACGTTAGTTCGAACTAACTTTAATAGGTGCTACACTAGCGCTCCGCTAGTTCGAATTTGAATCGAACTAGCGGAGCGCTTAGTTCGAACTAGGTAAACCTCATTTTACGAGGACTAACGCCTAGTTCGAACTAGCTAGTTCGAACTAAGGGCTGTGTAGCCCTTTAGTTCGAACTAGTGGGAGGCTAGCCCTCCCCAGGTTTCCCTGGTGGCCACTCTGGCCAACACCAGGGAAACTCTATGCCCCCCTCCTGGCCCCGGACCCCTTAAAGGGGCACGGGCTGGCTACGGTGCCCGTGCCAGGTGCAAGCCTGCCAGCACCCAGCTAGCAGACCCTGCACCTGGCACGGCACAGAGCCACCCACCCGATGCCCCCCAGCCCACCCCCTCTTGCCGGGACCAGGCTGGTGGCTCCCGGGAGTTTGCCCTGGACCGCAAGAGGCGGGCACCTTCCTGGGCTAGTGCGGACATCGTGGACCTCGTCCACGATCTCCGCACTAGGCACAGGAAAGTGGCCGTCCAGGGCAGGAGAGCTGCCAGCCTGGCCACCCAGGACCAGGTGTGCATGAAAATCAAGGGGGTCCACTGAGACCCCCGACCCTGAGCCCTGAGCTTACAATGGCCGTACTGGGTCAGACCAAAGGTCCATCTAGCCCAGTAGCCTGTCTGCCAACAGCGGCCAACCCTAGGGACCCTGGAGGGGATGGACCGAAGACAATAACCAAGCCATTTGTCTCGTGCCAACCCTCTCCAGCCTTCCACAAACTTTGGGCAGGGACACCACTCCTACCCTCTGGCTAATAGGACTCCATGGCCCCAACCTCCATCACTTTATCTCACTTCCCTTTAAACTCTGTTCTAGTTCTAGCCTTCACAGCCTCCTGCAGCAAGGAGTTCCACAGGTTAACTATTTGCTTTGTCAAGAAGAACAACTTTCTCTTACTAGTTTCAAGCCTGCTACCCATTCCTTTCCTTTGGTGTCCTCTAGTCCTTCTTTATGGGAACTCAGGAAGAACTTTTCTGAATGCACCCTCTCCACCCAACCCCTTCTTTTAGAGACCTCTATCCTGTCCCCCCTCCGTCTCCTCTTTTCTAAGCTGAACAGTCCCAGTCTCTGTAGCCTTTCTTCATCTGGGACCTGTTCCCAACCCCTGATCATGTTAGTTGCCCTCCCCTCTCCCAGCCTTTCTCTTCCCCTCTCCCACCTCCTTTTCCCAGTCTCCCCCAGTTTTTTTCAATAAAGACAGAGTCAATGTTGGAAGAAACGTTATCTTTATTTTGTACATCAATAAGAAGGGGGGCTAGGGAAGGGTAAGTGGAAGGAGGTGAGGGAGGAATGGGGTACGAGCCCCCGATGGGGAGGACTGGGCTGGCTCTGCGGGCTTCTGGGGGTGGAAGCTCTCCTGCAGCCCCCCAATTACTCCCTCTCCCCAGATGGCAGCCTGCAGCAAGTGCAGCCGGGCTGATGGCCGAGTGGTGTGATGTGCCCAGTGTGGGCACTCAGGGCACTCCAAGCCAGAACTTCTTTGCAAGCGGGGCACCCCTTAGAACTGTGTGTCCGGGGTAGGGGTCGGGACCCTTTAAGCGCAGCCCTCGGCTAGCCTGAGACAGCATCTCCATGCTCTAAGTCCTCCTTTTATGCCCTGCCGGCACTGCTTCCGGCCATCCTTAAGCCCTGTTCAGAGTCCACTCAATGTGGACTTACTAGTTCGAACTAGCAAAACGCTAGTTCGAACTAGTTTTTAGTTCTAGACGCGTTAGTTCGAACTAGCTTAGTTCGAATTAACTAATTCGAACTAAGTTAGTTCGAACTAGCACTGTAGTGTAGACGTACCCTCCCTGAAGTTCTTCCTGCAGTCAGAGCACTCAAAAGTTTTCCCTCTTTTGTGGCTGTACAATGATTGTTACGATTTGAGCACTGACTCAAGCTTTCCCCCCAGTCAGAGCAGTCAATGGGTTTCTCCCCAGTGTGGATTCTCTTATGTGCAGCAAGATTTGAGCTCCTACTGAAGCTTTTTTCACAGTCAGGGCAGTCAAAGGGTTTATCTCCTGCGTAGACTGTACGATGATGGTTAAGATCTGAACACTGACTCAAGCTTTTCCCAGTCAGAGCAGTCAATGGGTTTCTCCCCGCTGTGGATTCTCTGATGTCTAACAAGAAGTGAGCGCCTACTGAAGCTTTTCCCACACTCAGAGCAGTCAAATGCTCTCTCCCCTGGGTGAATTCTCCTATGTGTAACAAGCTCTGACTTCTCACTGAAGCTTTTACTACAGTCAAAGCAGTCGAAGAGTTTCTCCTCTGTGTGGATTCTCTGATGGGTACTAAGACTTGAGTGCTGATGGAAGTTTCTCCCACAGTCAGAGCAGCTGAAGGGTTTCTCTCCTGTGTGGATTCTCCTCTGTTTAACAAAATCTGAGCTCTGACTGAAGCTTTTCCCATAGTCAGAGCAGTTATAGGGTGTGTCTATTGCATGTATTAGCTGATGGTCAGTAAGGTGTGAGTGCTGACTGAAGCATTTCCCAGAGTCAGGGTATCTGAAGGGCTTCTCTCCTGGGTGGGTTCTTCCTTGTCCACGGACAGTTGCACACTCACTGCAAGTGCAGTGTCCTTGTTGATGCAGGCTTGTCTGTTGAAGGGTTTCTGTGTTTCTTTTCATCCCTTTGCTCCTGTGACTGGATTTATCCTGACCTTCCATTGCATGGTCTCCCTGCTGCCTTTCTGGACTACACTGATGCTCACAGGTCTCTCCTTGCTCAGGACTCTGAGAAACATGCCCTTCAGCTCTTCCCAATAACATTCTACAGAGAGCTTCTTCCTCTGCTCCTTTCTGCTGAAGACTCTCCTCATTGTTCTCACTCACCATCCCATCACCTGCTGGGACAGAGACAGAATCCAGACAGGAGTCATTCTCTGTGCTGAGCTGAAAGGGTAACTCTGAAAGTGGGAACACACCCAAAGAATGGCTGGAGAGGTTGAATGATCATGAGCTGAGTTCATCCTCCTTCCTCACAAACCCTTCCCACAGGAGAGAATCCAGCCAGGCACCCTCTCCCGACTGAAGGTGAAGACAGGCTGAAGGGTCAGTTAGACTTGATGAACATGCACAAGTGACCCCTGCCATGAGGACACAGAAATTGGTTTCGAGTCAGTTTAGCTGATGGCTCACCTGTGTGTGGGTCAATGATGATCCCCCCCTTCCTCACAGCCCTGGAGATCTGGGATCTGCAGCTCCTCCTCTCGCTCCACCCAGGTCACATTGGCTTTGGAGACTGGAAATCCTGTTGAGGAAGCAATTAACTAAGTGCTGATCTTGTTCATTAAGGTCCATGCCATTACTACTTCCAGATCCAGGATCTGATTCACCCACCCAGAGAGGCTCCTTCCCCCTTGCAGAGACCAGGCTCTGAATGGCATAAGATCTCATGACACACTCACTTACAGTTAAGGTGCACCCCGCCCACCTCAGGAACGGCCCAGCTAACTCCCTAGGGGAGCTGAGTGCTCTGCTGCACTCTAGGGTACAAGTAAGGCTACGTCTACACTTCAAAGCTTTTCCAGAATACAGGCAGTATCCCGGAAAAGCTATGCCATGTCCAAGGAACGTGTCCACATTTTTGGAACAGTTTCTGAAAAATCAGACACATTCTTTTGGCATCCCTGTATTCCTCATTGTATGAGGAAGAAGGGATGTTCCGAAAGAGGTTATTCTGAAATGTGACCCAGTGTAGATGGGCCAAATTTCAGAAAAGCCTCTTCTGAAAAGCGGAAAAAGATATGCAAATTGTGGTTTTCAATTTGCATATCTTTTTCCGACTTTTCTTTTCAGTACAGACATAGCCTACATCTCCCTCATGGCCCATTCTATCCCCCAAGCCCAGGGCAGGACAGGAGCACACTGCTCAAAATGTGAGCTCTAGCCAAGGCTTGCAGGTCTGACACCAAGCAACGCAGGCTGTAGCTGCCACATGGCAGGTCAGTAGGACTTGGAGAGAAAGGATCTAGCAGAGCTCTAGGCTCCCAAGGGCTCTATTCATGAAGCTCCTGACTTACAGGAGGGAGGGAGAGAAGAGGAAGCTCAGCTCGCCCTGCTCTTTGGCTTGGATGCTCTACTTGAACCAAGAGACAGAGGAAGTTGTCTGAGCAGCTTGGGGAATTCTTGGCTGGCTGTTTCAGACCCTACCTATGCTCCTGACCTGACTTCTTGTGCCTGGGTGGGCCCTGCCAACTGCCCACAACAGCTGCTGCTCCTGCCACGGTGGTGTTGGGCTGTGCTGCTTCTCCCAGGTGTGCGGCTGTGGCTGCAGGTGAGCTCCCTCTCTGCTGCCAACACCGGCAGCCTCTTTGTCTGGTTTCCCAACCATCCTCTTGTGGCCAACCTGGCCTGCCACTTGCTGCCACACATTCCCTCCTCCCCTACAGCTGTACAGAATCTACACCCTGTGGGTACATTCCTCACACCATCAGCCAGACTCCTTCACGGACCATCATTTAGTGCTTGAAAAAACCCTGTGACGCTATAGGATTAAAATATGGCCATGCAGGTCATTGTTGCTACCACTGTTACACACTTGCAACAAACCTCATGCAAAGTACATCGTGTGTGGTATCAATGGGAAAGTTCAGATGCAGTGACAGTGCTGGGGATCTCATTGTTCTGCTCATTGGGAGCGATGCCCGGAAGAAAGGCAGTGTTTGTAGAGCAGCGGCAGCAGAGCAATCCAGCAAAGGAGGGCTGCCCGGTAAAGCAGCTACTGCAGCAGAGGCCAGGCAGGTTCCAGGGCTGCCCCCGCCAGCAGGAGGCCTCTGCAACAGCTAACCCAGCAACCCAAGGGTCTTCCATCTCTGCCCCACAGAGCAGCCCTGATCTCAGCAGCAGCTTGCCGTGAACGCCCCGAGGGCCCTATGCTCCCTACACTCCCCAACCCTTCTAGCAACCGACAGAGCAGAAGCCCCATTCAGCTGCTGGGCCAGGAGGA